GGGAGGGGGAAGTGAGGGGCGTATTGATGCTTTTTCTAATCTTCTTAACTTTATTCTTGTTTGTTTTTCTATTTTTTATTTTTTTTTTTTTTTTTTTTTTTTTTTTTTTCTTTTTTTTTTTTTTTTGTTCGCTTTTTTTTGTTTTTTTCTTTTGTTTTGATTTTTTTTTTTTTTTTTTGTTTTGGTTTTTTTTTTCTTGCTTTTTTTTGCTTGGTTTCTTTTTAATTTTTTTTTGATTTTTTTTTTCTTTTACTGCTTTTTTTTTTTTTTTTTTTTTTATTTTTTTTTTTGTTTATTTGGTTTTGATTTTTTTTTATTTTGTTGTTTGTATTTTCTTTTTTGTATCCTTGCACCTCCCCCGGGGCCGGTTTTGTGGGATGTTTCAAGCGAGGGCGCCGGTTTGGGATTCGTCGGCGGATCCACCGGATCCACCGGATCTGTCCGGAAACGGTGCCGGAGGCCGCTCTGGGCTCCTCTGGGCACCTCCCCCGGGGCCGGGTTTGTGAGGATGTCTCAAGCGAGTGCGCCGGTTTGGGATTCGTCGGCGGATCCACCGGATCCACCGGATCTGTCCGGAAACGGTGCCGGAGGCCGCTCTGGGCTCCTCTGGGCACCTCCCCCGGGGCCGGTTTTGTGAGGATGTCTCAAGCGTGGGCGCCGGTTTGGGATTCGTCACCGGATCCAGCGGATCCAGCGGATCCAGCGGATCTGTCCGGAAACGGTGCCGGAGGCCGCTCTGGGCTCCTCTGGGCACCTCCCCCGGGGCCGGTTTTGTGAGGATGTATCAAGCGAGGGCGCCGGTTTGGGATTCGTCACCGGATCCAGCGGATCCAGCGGATCCACCGGATCTGTCCGGAAACGCTGGTCGTGAGGCCGCTCTGGCTCCTCTGGGCACCATACCTCCGGTGGGGTTTTTTGTGAGGATGTATCAAGCGAGGGCGCCGGTTTGGGATTGTCAACCGGATCCAGCGGATCAGCGGATCCAGCGGATCCACTCTTTCCACACCTAAGCTGGTTAAACTTCACGGTGCGGAGGCCGTCTGGGCTCGTCCTCTGGGCTCCTGTGGGCACCTCCCCCGGGGCCGGTTTTGTGAGGATGTCTCAAGCGAGGGCGCCGGTTGGGGATTCGTCACCGGATCCAGCGGATCCAGCGGATCCAGCGGATCTGTCCGGAAACGGTGCCGGAGGCCGCTCTGGGCTCCTCTGGGCACCTCCCCCGGGGCCGTTTTTGTGAGGATGTCTCAAGCGAGGGCGCCGGTTTGGGATTCGTCACCGGATCCAGCGGATCCAGCGGATCCAGCGGATCTGTCCGGAAACGGTGCCGGAGGCCGCTCAGGGCTCCTCTGGGCACCTCCCCCGGGGCCGGTTTTGTGAGGATGTCTCAAGCGAGGGCGCCGGTTTGGGATTCGTCACCGGATCCAGCGGATCCAGCGGATCCACCGGATCTGTCCGGAAACGGTGCCGGAGGCCGCTCTGGACTCGTGCTCTTCGCGCCGGGGGTGAGGATGACGTGAGTTCCACAGAAACTCCCTTAAACAAGAGCGGCCGCCAGCTGCTGCAGCGCCTGCGTCGCGGGTGTTGGAGGAGGCGCGACTGACCGTGACCCGGGGCATCCACGATGAGCTGGCTCGCCCGACTCCTGGATGTGCGTGCGGGCCAGAGACGGGCGCTTCTTCGCGACCGGCGCAGACGCTCCGTCCGGCGCCTCCGAGGCCACCCCCGTGGCCGACGGCGTATGCGGAGCCCGCTACCTGGAGAGCCTGGGGCTGTCGTTGCACCCGGTCGGGGGCGAAGCCCAGCGACGCCCCGCGGTGGCCCCGTTCGCCGCCGCCACTGGTGCACTCGAAGCCCCCTCGCCGGGGAACAACGGACCAGCCTTGCAGAGGCAGGACAGCGAGGCCATCCGCCAGCTTGTCGACAGAAATCCCTACGCGCCCATTCGCCCACCTTCCCGCGAAGGGGGGGGTTGAAGGAGGGGGGGGGATGAAGAGCATCGTGGCGAGGAACAGATGCGCGACGACACGGCGGGGGGCGAGGTGGAGGGCGGGGGCCTGCAGTGCGGCGCTGCCCCGGGACGAGCTCAGCAGCCTGACGGCGACCTCCTGCCTGCGCGCGGCGCCGCAGGTGCTGGGGCTCGACCGACGCCAGCTCCAGAAGCGGACGTGGGCGAGGTCGGTCTTGATCCTGCCGAGCAGCACGAAGGCGAAATTCAGCCCCTGGCCGTCGCGACGGCCAGTCGCCGCGAGCCCGCGTCTTGTCTCGGTCATGCCGACCGTCAGCGGGGTGGGGCCCTGATCCCTCTTATCTCCTCCCCAACCTCCCATCCTCCAAAGCGCCTGACCAGTGCGAAGGATAGTCGCCCCGATCCCGTGCCTGGCCTGGTCATGCCGACAGCGCAGCCTGGTGTGGCGCGTCGCTCGCGCCGCGCTGGTTGCCGCGCCTTCGAATCGCTAACGATGCGCAGCGTCCTGGAACCTCGACTCCGCCGAGGTCCACGCTCGCGCCGCGCCGCGACGTCAGCGCCTGGTCCCGGGACGCAGGCGTCTACATCGACTGGGGCCGCGAAAACACCCTGTATCAGGAGTTCCAGAGGAAGTGGGAGGGGCGTGGATTGGGAACGGGAAAAGGCCCTCTACCAGGAGTTTCATAAGAAAAGGGAGGTAAAGGTGAAGGGCGCGGAGAGGGCCAGGCGCGCAGCTCCGGGTCCGCCGGCAACTGGGCCGGGAAGCCCCCCAGACGCTGATCAGCTCGGGGCCCGCCACCCCCTGCCGGCGCGCAGGGTGTCGCGCCCGGCTCATTCCGTTCCCTGCAGACTGCGGCAGTGCTCTGTGTGCAACCAACGCACCGCTGGCCGCGCGCGCCACCTGGCCCCCTTTCCCCCTCCCCCTTCGCCCCTGGGCCTGGGACCGCGTGTCCTCCTGATCCCCCGCCTGTTCCGGCGGCGGCAGAGGCTGCAGCGCCTGCTGCAGGAGCCTGGCAGCCCATCGGCGCTCCCGTCTTAGGTGGGCGCACGAGACGGGCATGCGCGACATGAGGAGCGCTGCCACGGGGGGCAGGGCTATGGGCTACGCGCTGACGCCACTCAGTTTGCGTGCAAGTCAACCTGGTCCACGGCTTGGGCGACTTGTTCCCCTCCCCCCCCTTCGGTGACCTGCTCCCCACCTCCCCCTCCTGTGTTTATCGTGTATTGGGGCCGTGTGTCCCACCCGATCCCACTGGGTGCCCAGCTCCACCCAAGTGGGCACCGATGGCGCGGGCTGGCACGTCTACGGCTGGCGGTCAGCGCCGGCCCTTTCCCTTCCTGTTCGCTTCTTCCCCTCCGCTCGCACCCCCTGTTCGCTTCTTCCCCTCGCACCCCCCCCTCCCATGGCAGCAGCGCCCGGCGCTGCGCGGCTTCGGCCCAGTGCTAGGCGCTGCACCCTGCCGCCTCGGCGGCCCCGCAAGCCATGGCGCTGCGCGGCTCAGGCCCGGCCCTTGGCATTGCGGACGTCAGCGCACCGTGCGTGGCTGCTGCCCGTCTTCACGCGCCGCCGATGCAGGACAGATTCCCCCCCTGCAGCCCGCCGGCTTCCTGTCGGTCGTGGGCGGCCAGTTCGTTTGGAGGTCGCACCTCAAGCTTCGCTGCTGCCTGGTCGTGGACTGGGCTACCACCCTGGGCCTCCTCTGCATCATCTGGTGGCGCGCCGTTGCTCATGGCCTTCGTGGAGCCCTTCTTCCTCCTGGGCGTCGACCTGGTCGCGTGGCGCGCCCTCCCCGGCAGTGCTTGAGACTGGTGTTCGCGGAGCGCCGTTGACGGCAACGCCACTCCCTTCGCCTTCCGGGTCTTCGCCCTTGGTTCCTGTCCATGGCGCGCCTTTTCCTGCGCATCCACTTTGGCACCGCCTCTTCCCCGGGCCCCGCCCTCTCCTGGCCGCCAGGGGCCTGCCCCCCTGTGTCCTGTCTCCCGGATTGAAGCTGTGCGTAACCCGCTTAGTTTTTAGCGGAAGAGGTTCGCTCTCGTCAAAAAGTGTTTGCATGTTTTTTCTTGGAAGCTGGATTGCGAATTCCTTCCGATACCGAAGGCTTTAGAAGGATTTCGGCATGCGCGCGCGACGACGCGCGCGCGTGCACTTCGTCAGATTTATTGCAAGGGATTCGCGAAGCAAATGTTGTGGAGCATTCTAGTTGGTGCAAGATCCCACCAGCCCTTGAGGGCGTGAGTGGTTCAGAGGGTTTCCACTTCCAACCCCTTCTTCTCCTTCGGGAAGGGGTTGCCCCCTCCGCTTTTCCCCTTCTCCAGTGGATGCCAACCTCGACCCCCCTTCGAGACCTGCTCGAGAACTGCGCAGTTCAGGGCACGAGCCGTCTAGCAGCAGCAGCCCAGGGCGCGGCGGAGCCAACTGTTCACCATAGCGGAGGGCGAGGGAAGGCAGCGCGCAGAAGTGTGTGCACGCTTGCGCACTCGTGTCAACAGTAACTGCCGCGTCCGGGTCGGGCCACAGCTCCGCTCTCCAGCGGCCCTTTCCGGACGATCTGGGTACACCCAGGAACGCCCGCACCCCGAGGCTGGAAAGCCGCCGAGGACTGTGAAGAAAACGTCTGAACACCTTGCGGCGTGATTGTTTCTCGACGCGAGCCTGTCTGGGTCTTCCTTGCACCGCACCGCTTGCTGACCGGCGGCTGACTGTCTTGGACCACTTGCCGCCCGCGGACTGAAAAGTCGGGGTCCGCGGCTTGGCATCGGCACTACCCAAACATGCTTGTACCATGTGTGCGTCGGCACCGCAACGGCGACGCGGGCGCCCAGAACTCTTCTATAGTATAACCGGCTCCGTTGTGTGTGCTTTCTGACCATGCCGCTTGGGGAGCCATTTGCTGTCACATGTCTGTGCTACATGTTCGGTTCGGGCGTGTGTTTCCGAGGAGGGCGCATAGTACGAACACGTCATTCTGCGTCCCTCCTCCTCCTCCTCCCCTTCCTCCTCCTCCTCCTCGTCCTCTTCCCCCGCGGCTCCAAGCAGGCTGCGGGAGCGCCTTCTTCGACGCCGGGCGCGACACGGCGGAGCTCCGGAGCCTCCTCTCGGACTCTCGGCCGCGCGGCTGAGGCGGGCCCTCCGGCTCCGCGATGGTGAGCGCTGCAAGGGGCCGGGCAGTGCAAACCGCCCCGGGCGGTTCCCCCAGTCCCCTGGGAGCCAAGCAAAAGCAGCAGCAAAGGTAAAAACAAACGCGCGGTTCCCCCAGTTGCGCTCCCTGGGTGCCAAGTAAAAACAAAAGCAACAAAGCAAAGGCAAACGTAAAGGCAAAAGCGAAGGCAAAGCAAAAGCAAAAGCATAGCATAGCATAGCATAGCATAGTATAGCATAGCGCAGCATATCATAGCGCATCATAGCATAGCATAGCATATCATAGCCTAGCCAAGCATAGCTTTGCGCAGCATAGCATATCATAGCATAGCATAGCATAGCATAGCATAGCACAACACAGCAGAGCAGTGCAGAGCAGAGCAGAGCATAGCATAGCATAACATAGCGCAGCACAGCATCCACTATTGCTGCTGTTATATATTATATTTATATATATATATAATTATAGTATTATATATATATATATATATATATATATAATATTATATATATACATTCACATATGCACATTACATGCATGCATGCATGCTGCAATACATACATACATACATACATACAAACATACACACAAACATACATACATATACATATACATATATACACATATATACATATATATGCACATATATATAGATGTATATATATATATATATATATATATATGTATATATATACATATAACAGCAATAGTTAATGCTGCTCCTGCCGCGATTACAGCTCCTACTAATGTTGCTTTCCTAGAGGCTCGAACTCCTAGGTCGGGTCGCACTGGGATATTTTTGACTATTTTTGAACATGTTTGATTTTTTTTTCCCAAAATCCACCTGTGGGGAGACACGTCCGACCTAGAGTTTGTGTCTTTCGCGATAACGCCTGTGAGGGGCGCCGCCCTCCCCCCCGTCCCCCCTCGGGGGTGTCCAGGAGGGGGGTGATGACCAAGGGGGGGATGGACATCATGGCCAGGGGCATGATCTCTCACCAGATCTCATGGCCCCCTCTTCCTCTTTCAATGCGTCTCCTGATCGTCCTTGTGCCGCGCGCGTGCCTTAGGCCATGATTTGCGACCCCCCCCTCTTGGACTCCCTGAAGAAATCCCCCTCCGTCGGACTAGTTGTGGGCAGGTAGATAGGTAGATAGATGTAGTAGTGCAGCATAGCAGGAGCAGAGCGGTGTTGCATTGATTCATTGCTTATCTTCCACGACCCCTTTAGGCGAAAAAACATTTTCATGGTAGCGCGAGTGTAGGCGGCTCGCACGCGCCAGGCGGCGCGCAGTGAATGCCTAGCAAGAGAGGCACCAGAGGAGCCTCCCGGGCCCGCGACCGCGAAGTCCGCGGGCATCACCGCCGCTCGGTGGGCGGCGCACCTGGACTTCGGCTGGCTGCGGGTAGCTCCGCGCCGAGCCGTGGTCCGGAGAGGGGGGAGCCGGCGGCGGAAGCGGGCAGCCCCGCTCCGCGCCCAGTGCTCCTCAAAACACGGTCGAAGGCTGCGGGTGGACCCGCGCCTTCCCGTGAGCAGGCCGGGCGCTGCGGCCCGGAAGAGCCTCTGGCGCAGCGCAGGAGGCGGCAGCGCCGGAGGCGAAGAAAGGCTGAGGCGGCTGCGGGATCGCCTGACGACCCGCCAGCCGATACTGAGAGGAAGAAAGGCTTCCTCGGGGTGAAGATCGAGCGGATCTTTCGCCGTAGGCACCTGTCTCCGGGTGGCGTGCGTCCACGAGCATCAGGAGGGGGCGCGCGAAGTCCGTCGGAGGCGGCTGGGCAGCCGGAGACGGTCGGGAAGCGCGCCAGGGGCAACCGGGAACTCCAACGGCATCCTTCGGCAGCGGGGAGCTCCGCGCTGAGGGGGGTGAAGCAGGAATGGGGCGAGAGCCATGGGGCAGCAGCTGCAGCAACTGGCAGCGGAACTCAGGCAGCTTCGGCAGGAGAACGCGCAGCTGGCAGACACGGTGGGGGTGCAGCAAGAGACGCTGGAGGCGATCCAGCAACGCCCTGGCGCAGGACCAGGAGGAGGCGCCGCAGCAGCGGCAGCAGCGGCAGCGGCGGGAGCATTTTCGAATGAGGTCGTGGAGAGACTCATTCGTGCTCTTCATGAGCAGACGCGCGCCTTCGCCGCCAGGGGCCGACCGGGCCTGGTTGACAGCATGGGCGTCGGCAGACCGGCGGTGTTCAACAACGACGAGGCTCGATTCCCAGAGTGGGCCGAGAAGACAGAAGACGATCTTCTTGGAGTCGAGCCGGCCTTGGAACAAGCCTTAGAATGGGCGCTCGACCAGGGCGAGGAGATCACAGTGCAGCAGGTGCTGGAATCCTTCGGGCCAGGGGGCGCGCATGTCATGGACGGCGTCGTTGGACTCGACGTGCAACTCAGGACGGCCCTGAGCAACCTCACCGAAGGTGAAGGTTGGACCATCGTTCAGAACGCTGACAAGAACGGCCTAGAGGCGTTGAGGCGCCTGCGCAGACGCTTCGTCTCCCTGACTGGGGGTTGGCGCAGGAGCCTCTTGCGAGCCATCCTGGCGCCGACCAGGGTCAAGATGGATGAGCTTGGCTAGGCCTTGCAGGCCTGGGAGGAGATGGTCAGCCGTTGCAGCGAGAAGTCGTTGAAGCTTGGCGAGCCGGCCATTGCTGACGACTTTCTGTGCTTAGCGTTGGAAGCCTTAGTGCCGGGCGACTTGGGGCAGCGCCTCCATCTGAACGGATCGCGCCTCGAGAAGTACAATGACATGAGGCAAGAGGTGATGACGTACTACGAGGCGCGCGCGGGCAAGCTGGTCAAGGTGGCGCTGAGGGGCCGCGCGCCGCAGGCAGGAGGTCCAGGTCCAACCCCCGTGGGCGTGGGCGCCAGATCGCTGGCGAAGGGCGGAAAAGGAAAAGGCAGGGGTAGCGCAGGCAGGGGCGCGAAAGGCAGAGGCGAGGGGGGGCGGCAGCGCCGGCCGCGGCAACGCCAGCCGCATCGCGGACAGCATAGATTCGAGGGCTACTGCGGCAGCTGCGGCAAGTGCGGCCGCGAGAAGACGGGCTGCTGGGCGCCCCCCCCGCAGACAGGGGGGGAAAACGAAAGAGCAATATGAGCGGCAAGGGCAGCAGCAGGAAAGGGAAAAGGAGCAGGAGCGCTAGAGGAAGGAGGAGGGGAGGGGGAGAAGGAGCCAGAAGGAGAACAGGGAGGATTGGACATGGGCGCCATCGACCGACGGTTCCGAGTATGTCCGTTTCAACCTGGGCAGCGGGGCTGCAGCGACGGCGTGCCCTAGGGGGTGGTTCGCGGGTAGCTCCGCGCCCATTCCCTCTCCCGATCACTCTGGGGAGCGCATCCAGGACTACGGGGGTGTCCGTTTGCGTTGCAAGGGCGAGGGCGATGCTCGGGGGCGCGTCGCAGGTAGGAGGAGCGACGCGCGCAAGATATTGGCATCAGCGTTCCAAGTGCGCGAGAAGGGGCGCCAGCTGATATGGTTGAGCGCTGACGGGGGCCGCGTGGCTCCCATGGGCGGCCGCGTCGGGGAGATGCCGCAGAAGGAGCTCGATCGCCTGGTGAGGCGTTTCGGCGACGACTCGCTCCTGCCAGTGTACCGAGAGAGGGGCGTCTACCATTTCTACATGAAGGTGGAGCGCGCGGGAGACATCGCGCCGCTTGGCCTGTCGTCTGTTTTCCGGCGGCAGGGCCAGCGCCCGTGAGGCCGTCGGGGCATGGGCCAGGTGCGGGTGGCTCCGCCCCGGCCCCGGATGCGGGTCGCCCCGCTCCGGAACCCCCATCGCCTCCTGAGGGCGTTGGGGAGGAAGCGCCGGGCGTGAGAATCCGGACAGAGCCTCGAGCTCCGAGTGCGCAAGAGGTCAACGAGCACTACGCTTAAGGGGCCCGTTCAGTTCAGGTCTTGGTGCCGCCACTGCCAGGCAGCGCGCGGCATCGGCGAAGAACGCCGAGCCCGAGGGGGGGGCCTGGAGGCAGCTGATCCTGTGGTGTGCTCTGACTGCGGCTACTTGGCCGACGACAGCAGTGAGGACGCAGCATTGCCGATGCTAGTGATGCGGGGTCGCCGTGCCAAGGGGTATGCGGCGACGGCAGTGCCCCAGAAGGGGGCGCGCCCGTGCCCAGTGGAGTTCTTCGCGGGCTACTTGAAGGAGCTCGGTTGGAGGAGGTGCATGAGCGGGTCAGACGGCGAGCGCAGCGTTGCAGCTTTGAAGCAGGCTGTGGCTGACCAGATGCAGGCAATAGAGGTTGTCATGCAGGATTCTCCTGTAGGAGACCACGCAGCGAAAGGTGAGGCTGAGAACGTGGTCGCGGAGGTGAAGCGCACTGTGCGTGTGCAGATGGAGTCGTTCGAGGAGAGGATTGGTGCGCGGCTATCGCTGCGCCGTTCGATTCGGACGTGGTTGCCGCGACGTGCTGCTGCGTGTCTCAGTAGATGCCGCATCGGCGAGGACGGGGGGTCCGCCGAACAGAGGCGCACAGGCAGGCACCGGGCGTAGTCGGCGTTGGAAATCGGCGAACGGATTCGCGCGGGGCTCGCGCAGGAGGGGCCGCGGAGCGGCATGACTCCTAACATGAAAGTGGGCTGGTACGTCGGCCACCAGACGCGGACTGGCAGTCTGCCGGTAATGGCCGACAGAGGGGTTTTGCGAGGCAAGACCTACAACAACATGACAGACCTCCTGCGGTAATGATTTTTTCATGCGGATGGTTTGTATTTTTTTCGCCTTGTAATGATTTTGCTGTTCCTCGTTTTTTTTGTTTTTTTTTTTGTTTTTTTTTTTTTTTTTTTTTTTTTTTTTTTTTTTTTTTTTTTTTTTTTTTTTTTTTTTTTTTTTTTTTTTTTTTTTTTTTTTTTTTTCTTCTCGCTTCTTCTTCATCTTCTTCTTTATATTTATATATATATATATATATATATTTTATATATATATTATATTATATATATATATCCAACCATGCGCAAACGTACATACATGCAGTCTTAAGTACAGGTGTGT